AGCTAACTACTGCCAATCCTCCTCTTTTTGCTGAGGAAGCCTAGCCCTGAGCTAACACCCATGCCTATCTTCCTCTACTTTACATGTGGGAAGCCTACCACAGCATGGCTTGTCAAGTGGTACCATGTCCACACCCAGGATCCAAACCAGTGAACCCAGGGCCTCCGAGAAGCAGAACGTGCGCACTTAACCGCTGCGCCACCGGGCCAGCCCCTAAATGCACTATGTTTTAAGAGTTGTACATGACTACAAGCAATTCAAAACAATTTTTAGGAAGTAGAAAATGTAATAAGACTATTACAATATGGCATGAGGTGTCAAATAATTAATGGCTAATGAGTATTTAGTATTTGTAGGACCTGAAAAATATGTTGCCCTCACTTATCAGTAACCAGACCATAGACGTTTCTGTTTATTTAATTGTTTTATGTACTCGTCTAAGTCCTGGGCAAAATGAGGTGAGCAAGACCGACAAAAGTCCAAATCCTTGCAAAGCTTTCATTCTCTTGGGGCAAACAAATAACAACAAAATAATGCAATGCAATTTCAGCTATCAATAAGAAAGCTACCATGAAGAAAATTAAGTAAGCAAACAGGACTGAGGACCAGAAGGCTTCTCTGAGGAGTAAACACTTGAGTGGAGATTTAACTGATGAACCATGTGAAGTTCTGGGGTAGCGTTCCAATTGCAGTAGACACTGTTAGTCCAGACACAGAGAAGGGCTTCATCTGTTTCAGGAACAGCAAGCACCCAGCTGTAGCTGAAGCAGAGATCAAGGGAGAATAGAGGAGAAGAAAGATCAGAGACAGGCGAGGCACACGCCAGATCATGGTAGGCGGTGGTTAAAGAGTTTGGATTTTATTCAGGGGTAATGAGAATTTTTATTAATGGGAAAATTAAAGAATTTGCTGGGGGCTGGCCCCGTGGCCGAGTGGTTAAGTTCACACACTGTGCTGCAGCAGCCCAGGGTTTCACTGGTTCAGATCCTGGGCGCGGACATGGCACCGCTCGTCAGGCCACGCTGAGGCGGCATCCCACCTGCCACAACTAGAAGGACCTGCAACTAAGATATACAACTATGTACGGGGGAGGTTTGGGGAGATAAAGCAGAAAAAAAAAAGAAGATTGGCAATAGTTGTTAGCTCATGTGCCAATCTTTAAAAAAAAAAAAAAAATTTTTGAGGAGGATTAGCCCTGAGCTAACTGCTGCCAATCCTCCCCTTTTTGCTGAGGAAGATTGGCCCTGAGCTAACATCTGTGTCCATCTTTCTCCACTTTACATGTGGGACACCTGCCACAGCATGGCTTGCCAAGCGGTGCCACGTCGGCACCCAGGATCTGAACCGGTGAACCCCAGGCCGCTGAAGTGGAATGCGTGCACTTAACCGCTGTGCCACCGGGCCAGCCCCAGAATTTCCTAATCATAGGGCTGATTCATGCTTGAGAAAGATCACTCCAGCTACAGTGAGAACTGAGTGAAGTATAAGTGGAGGCAGAGCAGCCCACTATGAGGCTACTGCTGTCATGAAAGAAAGATGATGAAGGTGTGGCCTAGGCCTGGAGCAGTGAAGTTGGTAAGAAACGGCTGGACTGGGGATTCAAAAGTATGGCAGCCCTGAATTACTGACAGCCTGGATGCAAAGTATGAGGGAAAAAAAGGAATCCTAAATTTTGGTTTGAGCAAAGCCTAGCAGTCAAACCTATGTAGGCAGGGTCTAAATCATTTAAGTCCTCACTGAAGGTTTTGGTTTTATCTGAAAAGCAGTACAAAGCAGTGGAGTAGGAAAAAAGAGACAGGGTTACAGATATACTTTGTTGATTTAACACTCCAGGCTCAGCAAGCACACACCAGATCCCTCAACACTGCCTCTAGCTTGAGCCACAACTGATTCTGGAAAGACTGGGAGCCAGCCCAGCAATCACAGATTAGGATTTCCTCAGAGGGGCAATGAATCCAGATTAAAGCTGATTCTTGAGACACCTTGATGCAAATACATCCTTGTTCCTTATTCCCCTACCCCTAAATCTGCCAGGAAACTGCTAGGACCAATGATCTTGGCAACCTTGTGACCAGCTAGACTCACCCACTTTATATCCTCCTCCTCCTTGGTTCTGCCAAGGATAAAGACACCTTTGGTCATCTATCCTTATAAATAAACACCACCAAAATGTTCTCTCTAGGTGGCAGAATCACAAATGATTTATTTCTTTTTCGTACTTCCCCTATGTTCCTTAATTTCCACAATGAATGTATTTTTTTATAACTAGGGGGAAAAAAGGCCAAAATAAATAAATTCTTAAAATCCATATTCGCAACAAACCAAAATTGCTCTTCAATATGATTTACATAGGCTGTTTTAGACTGTTCAGATCCTTTGTTTCCTAAAAAACGAAAAATAAAACCACCTTCAAGTCCTTCAGGGGACTGTCCAGAACTTCAGTCATTAACCACCGCCACCACCCTCAAGATTTCTTCTAGTATATCATTCACTTATCACAGAAATTCAGCAGAGTTTGATGAATCTCTTCAAATAATTATTCTCTTCAAAATAACTGAATGCGCTATCCAAGGCAATCGGCTACGCGCTGGGGCCCCTTAACTGTAAAACTAAGGGTATGCTGTTATTTTGTACAGATTTGTAAAAATCCATGCATTCCTTATGCAGAAGAGGTTATTACTCTTTTACATATTTTAAAATATTCTGTAAAAAGGAATTTTCACTTTGTTAATTTCCTTTAAGGAATATACAGATAAACCTGTACATAGCCTTGGCTAATGCACAAAAGTAGTAACATAAAAGATATGAGAAAGTCATCTTTGGCAACTAAATTCCCAAAAAGGAAAAAGACTAAGAACAGAAACTTCACTCTTAAGGTGGGTAATGGTACTACAACTGCATTTGGCATAAAAACAAAGAAGGACACATCACCCAGAATAATCTCTAGTAATTCTAAATTCAGGCATTCCTTTCAAAAGATTCCCTTTTTTATCAATGCTTAATCTTTTTAATTTAGCTTTGGAAATGACACCTCCACTAGAAAGAACTGCTGACAAGAGAAACTAAATGGAAAAACATTTTGGAATATACTTCACTTAAGTGTTAACTCACTGCACGATACAACATGAATGTGTACATATTACTAGCTTAAATTTTCTACAAAATTAACTATTATTACTAGAATATTTTTCTTTTAAATATCTGAAAAGTTACATGTCATTTCCAAAAAAGTAAATATTATTGAAAAGAATAAGTAATGAAGTCAGTATCACGACCAAGAAGAATTAACATCTTCCTATCTAAGCAAAGCACAGCGCTAGATGCTTTCCAAATCAAGTTCACAGATCTGCTATCTGTCCCCCAGGAATCCTCAGTCTCCAGGAGTTGTGATGCCAAAGGTCCTTCCCAAACTATCAACAGCCAATATCATCTCCCCCGAAATTCACGTCAAATTAGCTGACATCTTATATTTAAACTTTGCTTTAAAAAAAAATTAAAGTGGATCTAAAAGGAGTATCATATTAAAATGAATCTAGCAAATGGACAAGGCAGACGTTGAGGGCTGAAGAGGAGGAAAGGTCAGAGGGAGGACACTTAGTTACAGAGAGAGTCTAGGTCAGCATTTATAATGTCTCTACGAGGATGAACGATATTTCTTGTTTGCCCAGAGACCACTCCATGGCTGCTATTGTTGCCCAGGGCTGTGTTAAAAGAAGAGACTGAAAGGGTGCAGAACCTAAGCAGCAGGCCTGAGGCGATATATATTTTAATTTCAGTATTCAAATTTTATAATTAGATTTAGATTTCTTCTTATCTACACTGGTTTAAAATAGCTTTCTTCCTCTAGTGCATGTTGTATTGATTTAACAACTGAATCACCCAACCTTTTATTAATTGAGAAAAATGATATTATTCTGATTTAGCAGAGATTTATATTATTTTAACATGGTGGGAAGTTGCCTTTCTATGCAGAGTAACTGAGCGAAATTCCACATATTTTCAAAGCCTTCTGTATATGAACGTTTTCCATTCACCTCAGAATCTTTGTTAAGAATGCACAGCCTGGACTCTAACCTTAAAAGTGAACAGAAGATTTATTTTCTTCAGACACGGGCAAATTTAAAAGGAAGCTAGAAGTCATTTACTTTCACACAACCTAAAACAATACTGTTAGCACTGCAGTGACAAAGAGGCTGCACATGACAAAGGTCAGTTAAGTGAAAGAAGGCAAAGGCAGCAGAACTCAGATGCTCAGAATAAAAACAAAAATAGATCCAATGCAGCATTTTGCGAATGAAGATCAATGAAAACAGCTGCTCAATATCGTATCACTTAGAGCATTATTTTCTATATTGTTATGACAGATCCTTTCTATTCTAGCAATTCCTCTTTGCCAGTTCTTGACATTGCCTTAATAAAACCAATACTTAAGCCAAAAATTTTCATTACCTGAAGTAAAAAGGTAATACATTGCCTCAGTTAAAAAGTACTTAGCTATCATGGTAGAAGTGAGAAGATACGACAAAAATATAAACCGAGTGGCAAGGGAGAAGCAGCATCATATTTTATTTAACCACTGATCTCAGTAATAAGGCAGCAGGTTGTCTTTCCGATCCAAACTACTTTTACAAGTAATTCAAATACCCCTGCTCGCTCTATAGTGGGGATCTTCCAAAGAATCAACCGAGAGGATGAAGGACCGGAAAATTATGTTCTAAACCATAAAAAATAACTAAAATATGAGTGAAAATGTATGTTACCACTTAACACTATAATTCTCAGCAATCTGAAGTAGAATAAACAACCTTACTGCTTATGCTCATGGACAGCAGAGCAATTAATGAGACAGTTAATATATCAAATCAATAATAAAGTAGAGGTGATGGCATACATATTTGTTGAGCTTAATCAGTAGAGGAAAATACAATTCAATGACTGGAGATTTTATGAAATCAAGCTGTAGTTCCACATGAAATAATTCAGCAGCTCTGTCTCCTTACCTGTGAGGACAGCTTTGGCTGATGGATCGGCCAGGTCCAGGGCTGACTTCCCGTCAGTGTTCCGAATGTTCGGATCCGCTCCGTGCTGCAGCAGCACTGTGCAGGGAAAGCAGAAACAGTATCTCACCTCAGGGATACAAAGATTGTTTACTGGTAAGTGTCGCCTCGGCATGGTGCAGGCATAAACATACATTGCACGATTTTTTCTCTTTCAAGAAAAAAAAAAAGAATAAAGAAAAAGAAAGGAAAAAAAAAGCACTGCAGCAAAGGAGCCTCTCTAGAGTACAGCGAAGTTGGCAACTTATGGTACAGTATCATCACATGACTGAACAGCATAAACATGGAACTAGAAAAATCTCGCAATAGACAGTTCGGGTTTGCCTCCTCAGGCAGCAGGAGAGGAAGCCAGGGCTCCCTGCCTCTCACTGTGGAATCGGCTCGCCATGAACCTGCCTGTCTTCACCACCACTGTGCTGCTTGTTGCTGCTGCTGCTTTACTGCCGAATTTCCGAACGCTTCCTCCTCTCCTCCGAATAGTTGTAACACTGTGCAAGCCTTTTAGTGGCTCACCGCTTACACATGAAACTCACCATAACAGACTGGCTTGCTTCCAAGAAGTTTAACAGACATAGTAATGCATGCACCTCTGGTCCCCTGCAGTCAAGCTGCAAAAAAACCCCCACCTTCTACAATAATTCTTTCCATCAAAAATTTTTAAAAACAGAAACTCAATCACTATAACATATGCTAAGGAATGAATGTTGCGCATGCTATATTGAGTAGAAAGTAGCTGTAAAGAATTTTTAGATATAGAGGCTCCCAAAAGAGACAACCACTGTTTCAATAAAATCCAGATATAATAATTTATTAATCCGAAACACTTCTCAACTACATTTGGTATGTGTGTGTATAGGGAGAGAGGGAGGGTGGGTGTTATACTACCCAACCAACGGTTGAACTAATAAATATATTAAAATCTAGTCCAAATAAGCACAGTTCAATTACAAGTTATTCTAACACTTCAAATTAAGATTTTGTGTACTCCCAGAAAGAACAGGAGTTGTTGTCATTTATCACTACACTATAGCATAAGTTTAAAACAAAGCAGAAATATTAAATTCAAATAAGTGGCCAAAAACATGTCATATAATGTCTAAAAACACCTGAGCCACTACTGTTGAAGAGTTCCAAATTTTCATTGATTAACAGTTCCATGCTAAAATACCCATATTCTTTTGGAATATCTGGAAGGCAATCCTCATATATTACTAAGTAGTAAGTCCTGCTATTCATAAAGCTCTTCCTCTTCCTTTAATGCATAAGCCATCTAATGGCTTTGTTATTATGTACAAAGGAACAGCTTTATCTAGAACTAGGACGCAGCTGCTGGGACAGTGTGCATCAGCATCTCTTGCATTAAATCTTGGGCACTTTCAGACTTGGGATCATAAAAACTAGCCAGGGCTTGAGAAGATGCAGGGAGATTTTGCCAAGACTTTGTACATTACTTCATTCTTGAAGGTAAGCAACAAATATAATCATTTTCCCAATGTTTACAAACTGACTCAAGATTAAGTAGAATAAAACAGCAAATACCACAGTATCAAACCATAGTTCCTCTTTCATCATAATGAGCAAGCTTTCACAGCAACATTTTTTTTCATTCGAGGAAGAAATCCCAACACGAAGGTCTAGCTTGTCACGGGTCTTTATCATGAAGCAGACTTATGTATCAAATGCAAAGCTGACAGCTATCGCTCTATCTTTATTTAGCTGCTGAGTGATCACATGCAAAGGGTAGGAAAACAAAGAAATCACAGCTACCATGAAAAGCCGAGTTTTTTATTGCATACTTCAAGAACTTCAGAACATGCTGTAAACAAGAAGTAAAGCAATGTATTAATTTAACAAGACTTGACAATAATATGATGAGAGCTTTTATTTTGCAGCTTAATGAGTGGCACAGGCAAAACACTGAAAGCCTATTGTTCCTGCTAAAGTCACCTAAAATCTCACTCTTTTTTACTGTAACTAGTATTTCACCTATTATATCTTTGCTATTTTGCAAGAAAAATCTGCTATTATGGGTTAGTTGCAGTTTTGTTTTAGGTGACTTTAATAGGGGTAATCTTTACTAGAAAAACCTGTTTTCCAAGTATTTTTGCATCATACCTATTTCTTTCACTGGACTGAAGACACAGAAGCATCACTGCAGAGTAACATAGCAATGGGGAAGAAGCAGCTGAATTTTCCTAACCAGATGCTGATAACAAAATTCACATTAGAACATATTCAACCATTTTTAATTCACCAGATAGGAGTTAAAAAAACAAAACTCAGTAGGGTTAAGTGTTTTAGGGTCAGTAAAGGTATTTATAACCAGACCAGGAAAGATCTCAATCTAACTATTATAAAAGGGCAGCCAGTGGTGGGAGGATTAAATGAGAACAAAAAGTAGTATGCAAAAGTACTAAGCACACAGCCTGATAATACGTATCAGCTGATGATAATATTAAAGCACATTTTAAAATGCGGACCCTATTTGTACTCTCAACTCTCCCACGAACTACTAACTCAGTGCTTTGTTTGAGCGCCAGAACTTCAGACAGGAAATCTATTAGGCCTTGTAGACCACATGGTCTCTGTCTCATCTCCTTACCCCTGCCTCAACCTCACCATTACAGGGGAAAGCAGCCATAAACAACACTTAAAAGAATGTGTGTGGCTGTGTACCAACAAAATTTTATTTAAGCATACTAAATTTGAATTTCGTATAATTTTCATGTGTCATAAAATATTATTGTGATTGTTTTTAATCATTTAAAAATGTGAAACCAATGCTTAGCTTGCAAGACATACAAAAAACAAGGGGTGAGCTGGATTTGGCCCACGAGTCATGGTTTGCCAACTCCGACCTTGGACAGTGATATACAAAGCGTGCTCTATGGACTGTTCCAGTCCCAGAACTCGTTGTAATCCAGCTACATTGAGATAAGCAGAGAAATTAAGAGGAAGCAATTAGAACTGTATATGTCATTTTAAAATTACTTCTTCCAGTACTTCACTTTTATTGCAGTTTACAAAATTATTGGCTTGCCACGCACTGGGGAGGAAAAAAATGAGTCCCCTCCCGTGGACGGTCGGAGAAGCACTGAGCCAGGGCACACGTAAAACTCCTTGGGCCTCAGTTCCCAGGTCTAGGAAGGGAAGGAGCTGGACTAGACAGATGACTTCTAGACACCTAGGGCAGGCCTCAACTCCTGATGATGCTTTTACGGTTACAACCAAAGACCTGAAGGCTTAAGATCTAAGATCATACGTTAAAATAAAAAAAAAGAGTTGCTTCAAGGCATCTTCTAAAACCAGAAGAACAGCACATACTTTAGGCAGAGGTAATGACAATAGCTTTCAAGAACTATCAGTCTGTACCTGAAGTGGCAGCACATAGGACTCTCAATTCTGGATGCTTCAAAATTTGCATTCAAAGTTCTGAACTACCAAAGGGAATAATAAAATGTGACTACTCATACATAATACAATTATAAATTCATCTTGTAAAATCAATATACATTGACAGCACACTGATATAAAACAGATTCTTCTTTGAAAGTACCACAAATATATAAAGCAAAGTTCTCAAAATATACAAACAATATACAAAGGTTTGAAAGAAAAAGAGGAAAATTAAAATCTGAGTAGCATTCAGTGCAGAAACTCAAGACCACATACTGTGTACTGTGGCTATTCAAAATCTCCCTGTACTATCTTTAACCAATTAGGGCATTATCAAACCTCAAATTCCAAATGATTTGGCTGTATCCAGTTGTTCTACTGATGTTATTTTAAATCCATTTATCTCCTTTTGAAGTGAGAAAGATGGAGAAAACATAACAGCTAGCATAATAACAGATAGTTATAACTAAGGTAGGATCACAATATTCAAAATGTCATTCTCAAAGAGCTTATGGCAAGAAGGACATGTGATTTTCCTATTTCTGGTGCAAGCACTGAGCTACAGCGAGCCAGATTCAGAAAGCATGCCTTTAGCCTGTGACCAATGCAGCAGAGACTGACACTGTTTCATTTAATTCTTCAAGCCTATTCAATTTAAGCTCTCACATCATTTTAATTCTTCCAAATAAAAATATTTCTACATGTATGCAAAGCTTTACCCTGTCAAATTCCTAGAAAAATACAAAGTGCTATCATGATAAACTGTATTTAACTACGGGGGTTGTTAACTGACTTAAGAAGATAGAAACAATGTGAACTTTCCAAGCTAAAAATGTAGCAAGTCTTTTAGGTAAATTATCAGAAAGTGCTTTACTATAGTTTTCACTTTAAATGGCAGATATCCCCCTATTAGAATACTGTAAATTCTGTTTGTTATTTGAACTTTAGAGCTACACAGGGTCTAAAACTGTTCTTCACCGTGAACAGACAATTTTAAAAGAAGTTACGTTTGAAACGTTTTTCAAGTATTCATAGTCATCTTAAAGTGTATAAAGATATTCATTTGACCGAGTTTCAAAAATTCAATCATACAAAGGACCAAGTTCAACAGATATCTTAGCAAATAAATTTTTTAACTTCAGAGCAAAATATCAAGTGACCAAATTTTAACTAGCTACAATTTTCAATGCATGGGACTTTCACCAACACACACGGGTTTTAAGAGACAAATTATTTTTTTTAAAGTGATACATATGACATATCCTGTGGTTAATACATATTCAGACCACCTCTTCTATAGAAATACGTACAATATTATAATGGTATAATACTATACAATGGCATAATGTTATATCACTATAATAGCGAATATATTTATATACTGCACATATTTTAAAAAACCATTTATCTTTTCATTCAAGATACACTTTATTTACTACAGCATAAAAGTAACCTGATATATTTTATTTTTTAAAAATCATCAAGAGCTGATTTACCACTAACAGTAAACATGAAAATTCAAGCAACCAGTGCTATCCTATATAGCAGTATGGCTTACTGAATTTGAATTAGAATTTAAATGGCACAATTTCCTGTTTTCAGTATTGGCAGACTTGCTGATTTGGACCAACCCTTAGGCTGTA